CGGCAGATTTGGCTATAAGAAAAATAAAGTCCTTTTAAAGGGATATTCTAGTGTAGAGACACGAATTTCGCCTGGGTTTTGAAGCGCTGTACAAAGGAAACAAAAAATATTTTTACCATCCATTTTTTTATCATTTGTTTATTGATGTTTTATTATTATATACAAAAATTAAACAAAAAAAACAAAATTAAAATTAACAAAGTTATGAGTAGTCAAAGTGGTGGGTCCAAAAAAAAGAGGGTGTTCTAGCGTGCATGATTTCAACTTTCCCGGTGATCTGAAAAATAAAAATCAGATGCATTCCTAATTATAATAGATGCCGCTATCGTATGAACCTTGGACAAGTTAAAAAAAAATTTTTCTCCCGTCGAGGACAAAAATAATATACACACTATGGGCAGTAAATAAGAAAGCCTCAGGTCACATGTTTGTTTTTACTTGTGATCTGAGACATTTCTTACTTTACTGCCCTAGGTGTGTAATGTACTATTTTTACAAAATAGCAGCTGTATGAAAAAAAAAATTTTTTTTTTGCATATTTTTTTAATAATTCCGAATTTTTGAAAAATAATAAATGAAAAATTATAGATTTGGGCAAGGTTCATACGATAGCGGCATCTATTATAATTAGGAATGCATCTGATTTTTATTTTTCAGATCACCGGGAAAGTTGAAATCATGCACGCTAGAACACCCTCTTTTTTTTGGACCCACCACTTTGACTACTCATAACTTTGTTAATTTTAATTTTGTTTTTTTTGTTTAATTTTTGTATATAATAATAAAACATCAATAAACAAATGATAAAAAAATGGATGGTAAAAATATTTTTTGTTTCCTTTGTACAGCGCTTCAAAACCCAGGCGAAATAGCCTCAGGTCACATGTTTGTTTTTACTTGTGATCTGAGACATTTCTTACTTTACTGCCCTAGGTGTGTAATGTACTATTTTTACAAAATAGCAGCTGTATGAAAAAAAAAATTTTTTTTTTGCATATTTTTTTAATAATTCCGAATTTTTGAAAAATAATAAATGAAAAATTATAGATTTGGGCAAGGTTCATACGATAGCGGCATCTATTATAATTAACCCTTTGTAGGTTGCATAATGAGCACGGCGCCGCCTTTTTTGCATTTTTTTTTCTAGAAATTGAGTTCATTGATAATTTTGAAAAAAGTTAAGTGCATTCTTTTAACTTTTCTGGAAATTGTGACGTTATTAATAAGCATAAAAATATATACAAAGTAATTTAAGAAAGCAATTTTCGGAACCGGGCGGCGCTATGTCGCCTGTGGCGAGTGAGCCTCAGGGAGATTTTGTAACCGCGCTATTGCCAAATGTCGTTACCTCCACTATTTCAGTCTGTTTTACCGCATGTGAGGTACAAAAATAACGTAATGGTTGAGATTAGTTTTTACTGTTTATATTATAACTTATGTGATTTGTCTAAAATAATGTAATAATTACACTCGTATTAAATATTATTTATATAAAAATAATAATAAAAATACAATTGGTAAGTAAATTATTTTATAACACATCCTACTAAAATTAACAGATGTCTGGTTTTATGTATTAATAATTATTATAACGGGGTTTTGCCTGACCCGGGGATTTACCAAGCCAGGGATTTACGAAGGCTCACCGTTTATATTGAATTTTAGCATATTTAAAAAAAATTAAAAGGGTGCCAGGAGAATAATCTCCAATTGATTAACACTGCGACTTCGGCTAGCTCTTACCTCTTCCTCAGGGCGGCGGGCCATGCTGAAATACACGTCATGAAAGAATAAGATCGCACAATAAATAAATAGTCAGGGAAGCTTCCTGTGACCTTAAAACGTCGAGATCTGATGAAAACTTGATTTTTGCAAAATGGGGTAAAACCAATATCTTCCCGATTTTTGAAAATCTTTGATTTTCTTTGCGAGAAGTTAAAAATAAAAAAGAGATCCCTCCAGAATTTTAAGTCACCAAAACTCGTCCTCAAATTTTCTCATCACTAATTGGATATAATAATGGAAAAGTATTAAGTTCATATATTCCTAAAAAAAATAAATGTGTTCTCGTGGTTTCATCCATGCATGAAATATGTAAAATCGACCAAAGCACTGGTTCAAAACATAAGCCAGAAACTATTATGTATTACAACAATACAGAAGGAGGCGTAGATACTGTCGATCAACTACGCGGGAATTACACAGTTGCTCGGTATTCTTGTCGATGGCCACTGACAGTTTTTTTCTCATTAATGTATCTAGTCGGGATTAATTCTCAATTTATTTATTCTGAGAATACCGAAACAGAATTAACTCGAAAAAAATTTTTAACTGAGATTGCCGAAGACTTAACTAAGTCTTTCATGATCAAACGTGTAGCTATACCTCAAATTTCAACATCTTTACGCATGACGATTAAGCAAATCCTCAATATTTTTGATAAAGAAGTATCTATTATTGTACAATATAAATCTAGGCACTATCACTTGTTGCTGCTGTGAAAATTATATATGCAAAGAATATACTCGTACAATGTGCGAGAAATGTTACATGTGCAATGATTCAACAGAAGAATAAGACTGAATCAATTTAGTCCGTAAAGCTACACTGCTCCTGCTGAGTAATGATAATCGTAATAATTCAATCTCCGATTAAATTTAATTAAAATTTTATAGTTGTAAGTCTTGCTGATGTAAAGAAATAATTTTACATGTGATAGTTTGATCGGATATTGAATTTAGTTTTATTTTTATACTTGTAAGAATTTTACTGGTCATAAATATTGAGAATTGACAGTATTACTTATGATAAATTCAATTAGAAATTGAATTTAATTATAATTTCATAATCTGGTCCGAGATGTTAAATTTAATAATATCACGTGTGATAAAAATAAAAATGACAGAAAAAAAATTTTATTATTCAATCAAATTAATGATAAAAATAAAATTATATCTAATAATAAAACATTGAAAAAACATTTTTGTCTCACAAAAAAATACTATTATTTTACATTTGGCAACAGTGCGTATGTTTTAACACGGCGACAGAGTGCTCACCATGCGACTGACTTAGTTCGGAAAAGGCACGTTACCTACGAAGGGTTAAGATTCCATCTGATTTTTATTTTTAGATCACCAGGAAATAACCAGGAATAAGAACAATTCATTGTTTATGTAATTAGCAAAAATAACATGCATGCAAAATTCTTAGTCCGTTGACCGAATAATCACCTGTAATGTTAAGTCTTGGAAACCTCACAATGACTTTTTCCCCGCTACGAAAAGACGATTGTTATAAGGAAATTTTTAGCAAATGTTATTGAAGCTTAATAGACATGCTCTGAATTTCATGTCTCAAGAAGTCCTAGTTTATAAACAACAACATTTTTTTTATTCTACTCATCACTCCGACACAACCTGCATATCAATTATCGCGAAATTGGTTTTTAGCTATTATTATTATTATTATTATTATTATTATTATTATTATTATTATTATTATTTATTGTTTTAAAGCCTTAGAGTCGTAGCTCTTTGCGGCCCTTCAAAGTACATTTCAATGAATGTGAATCCACTTTTATAATTTAGATGAAAAATATAAAATATATCATGTAAGAGTACACTATTCGTAACGTGATTGGTCAAATATATCATAAGCATGAAAATATAGATAATTCCATACCAACAGTCACACGCGCGCTTGCGCGCGCAACGTATACTAGTAAATAAAAATAATAGTGAATCACAGTAAACATAAGGTAGAAGTACCGTTTGTGGCCATTGTACCGTTTATGGCCATTTGTTGTTCAAATAAACGATAAAATTGAATTCATATTAATAAACCATTACAAACTCAATTTGTTTTCATATAAATTTTTTAAAACTCAACAAAAATATGGTTATAATATTATAATTTTTTATAAATTAATTCAAAGGCTGGCAATAGCCTAATCGGCTCGGTGCCTGCATTTCGAAAGAGTGGGACCAGGGTTCGATTCCGGCACGCACCAATATTTTTCAGTGATTATAAATATAAGAATATGTGCATTACGTTGCCAGCCTCTGTACCGGCCGGGTTTTCTGTGGTTTTCATATATAGCTATGGAGGTAAAATGTCATTATAGAAGTACCCCCATACTATTTAAGGCCGTAATGAAAATGCAGATACTGATTATAACGCGTAAGTCGGCCACAGTCGCAGCACAGTGGATTATAAGTGGAAAGAATATGTGGAAAGAATTATGTTGAACGCAAAGAAACAAGTGTTAGTTAAAGGGACGAAAGCCAGGTATAACATTATGAATGTTATATGATAACAAAAGAGGCACTTGAGTGGTATTACTGTGGTAGTAGCAAAAATGTGGAGAATATGGGTTACACCCACATGGAGAAATATATATGTCAAAAATATATGTCGCATATATAATATATATGCCGCATATATTTACGCAAAAAAAAATATGTCAACATACATTTTTCACATAGATGCTGACATATATGCAGAGATACACGCTTACATATATGTAGACATATATGTAGATATATATGTAAGCATACACTGAAAAAAAAATTTCTAAGTTTGAGAATTTTTTTACTTAAATCAAAAAAGTTAAATTTTTCAAAATTATTTTCTTGATTCAAGTTAAATTTTTTTCTGTGTCTCTCCAGACACTTATATGTGAACATATATGTGGACATATATTTAGCGCAAAAAAAAATATATGTGAAAATATATACTTGCATATATTTTTCGCATATATATTTTTCCATGCGGGCAGTCTTGTAAAAACCAAAATAGGTATAGAAGTAAAAACGATATAATAATAATATAAATTAATTCAAATGTTAACTGGCCAAAAACGGTGCTAAGGTGGCCAAAAACGGTACTTCTACCCTAACAATTAGTAGAACATTAGCGAAAATTACTTTTTTAACATTGATCAAATACATCACTCCATCATCAAGTATCGAGACATTTCATTTGAAATTGTGATCATATCACCCATTTTCCTCACTCAACAGAAACTCATAACATGCCTTACGAAAAGTAGGAAAAGTGGGCTGTGCGGTGCAGTACGAAGGTAGCCGATTCCATACTCTAATCGCGCTTACTAAAAAAAATTCATCGTATTTGGTACTGTAACAACCTGGCACAACAAGCGAATCATTACGTACATCACCCCTACGTAGCCTAGACTCACATATTTGCAAATTATTGCCAATAAGTGACTTTTGTTCTAAATAAAGGGCTTTATAAATGAGACACGGCATGAAAAAACATCCTAACTCTGAGAGTTAACAAGCAAAGTTCTTTATAGTACCGCGTGACGTGCTCAAATCTCGATATTTTAAATATGTACCTAACACAAGCATTTAACTTCTTACTGGCATCTAACTGGAAAACTGAAGGCATCATTCATTTTCAGCTGAGCAAGAATCCGCATAGTACTCTTGCAAATTTCATTCACTTGCAAGGACCAGGTAAGAGTATCTTCAAGCACTACACCCAAGTATTTAACAGATTTACAATAGCCAATGACAGTATTATTAATTATAGTATTGGGCACAGGAACGTGCTGAAGGTCCGCAAGTTTAAAAACTGTACCAAAGATCATCGCCTTCATCTTACCACGATTCATATTTAGCCCATTTTTAACACACCATTCTGATACAATAGCAATTTCCTCATTTAGAGTATTTACCCATGTTGCAATATCGCATAATCTACAATTTAAGTAAATGACTAAATCATCAGCATAAAAATGATGCATACAGCGCTTGAGGAGAAGCCCTAGATCTGTGACATAAATAGAATATAATAGTGGGCCAAGGACACTACCCTGCGGCATACCACACAAAACGTTCTTCCACACAGTTGTTTTGCCACTGCTATTTCGCACAGCTTGCAATTTACTTTTTAAATAAGATAAAATCCAGTCACTTACAGTATAACTGAATCCCATAGCTTTTAACTTGAATACAAGAACATCCAACCACCTTACTAAAATCAAAGAATATCGCTACAATAATATTTGATTCATCCATACTTAACCTAATGTCATCATAAAACTTGAGAATGGCATCTTGCGTATTCATCCCCATACAAAAAGCAGTTTGAAATTCACCAACAATATCATTAACTAACAAGTAATCTAAAATCTAATCATGAACACATCGCTGTCAAGCTTTCGATAATGTACAAAGTAACGATATAGGTCTATAATCCGCATACCCAGCAGGGCTGCGCACTATTGGCAAAGGCGGTACATAATATTTCTTTCAGGCTGATGGGAAAGTACCAGAAGACAACGAGAAGTTAAAGAGGTTCGTTATATGTGACAGGAAGTAGGGTAGCAAAACTTTGTACGTCTTAATCTCGAAGTGATCTGGACCCACCGACCCAGAGGTCAGCATCATGCATGTCTGCCTCACATTTACTGAAGTCAGCTCCTTAAGTTCAAATGAATTGCTATGTTTGACTATACGAGCTTCCAGGTACTCAAAATCGATGTTCTGCAAAGGCGAACCAGCCGCGGTAACAAAGTAAGCATTCATTTCATCTAAATTGAGATCAGGAGCCGCACGCACGTCTAATCGCTTAACTAAATTGCTTAACCTAAATTGCGAAAGTCATTCCACAGAAATTTCTCACTTTTACAATTTTAAAACCGATTATCAAAATATTCTTTCTTAGCATCCGCAATTCTACGCTTAATGAATTTACGCATTCCAGAATACTCCTTGTAGGCAAATCTTGATCTTTTGAAAATCCTATAAAGCTTTGACCGACGACGCTGAAGAATCCTAATATCTTGAGTCACCCATGGTGCAGGCTGATCACGAACTTCAACTTCTCTCAAAGGCGCTACCGCTTCAATGACTCGACAAATGTGATCATGAAGCAAGTTGTTCATTTCATCAACTGACTCAACATGTTCAACGTATGACAGATCTAAGTTGGCGCAGATATATTGAAGACGAGTGTCATCAATACGATTCCAACTCCTACACCAGATCTTTTTTCGACCACGCACTGGAACAGAATAATGATATATTATGGAGATGAGATCATGTCAATCTCGAATAGATTTAATGATGAAAAAGTTGGCGGATTATATACAACTCCAACTAAAATCTTTTGTCTCGTCGAATGCCAAATTTCAAGAAGCAAATACTCTGGATGACCAGGAGTATAACCAGAACTAATAAGAAATTTTGACGAAAGCGAGTCCCTGATATACAATGCAACACCTCTCCTATTCCTTTGAGACCGATCATTCCTGTACAATGTAAATGACGGCATATAAAATTGAGCATCTGACATATTTGAGTTTAACCATGTTTCACACAGCAATAACATTAAAAGTGTGTGTTCTAAAGAACTCTTTGAAAAAATTAAAATTGTAATTTAATGGACGAATATTAACATGACAAACACTGAGAGGCACTTGAGAAGATGATGTTGACAGACTAACTAGTCCCTGAGCAAGCGATGATGATGATGAAGTGGATGAGAGTTATTGACGTGAGCGAATGTTCTTCTTGAGCATCTCTATTCCATTAGACGGCACCAATTTCAGCAATGGTTTCTCCGAATCAATCCTGACAAACACCGAGGCTGCAACCATCCACACATTTTTAACCAGTAGCTTAGGATAATCCTTCAGTATCGGCAACCGAAGTTTATAAAGAGCAGGTGGGCGATGAAGATGAACAGGGTCCTGTGAAATATTTTCCTTAGCTAGTAATTCATTATTTTTAATAAGAACATCCTTGGACTTCTTAATCATTATATCAACAGAATCCTTAGAGTCAAACTTAATCAGTACATCCCTTTGCTTTTGCTTAGCAGACCTTGTCCTAGTATCAGCTGATCTACTTATTCTATTGACAAATTAGTCTACATCTTATTATCAAAAAAGAAAAATACTTAAATTGGTTGACCCTAGAGGTCATCCCTGAAATTTCCTGTTTCTATGGGGGAGGAATTTCGTAAGATCTTATTTGAGTGGATTTCTACAACATAAATAAAAAATTTCTACAAAACTTCGAGTCCATAGAAACTATTGTTTGAAAATGAGAATTTTTCATTGTTAACGCCCCCGTAATCCCTTTTGGGGTTAGAATTAGATAAAATCTATTCTTAGCTGAACTTGACCTCAGATACGAAAATCCCTACCATTTTTGGATTTTTTAGAAGTGGCAGTTTGTAAATTGAAATTTTACATTTTAACACCCACCCCCGCAATCCCCATCGGAAGTAGAATTTATTGAAATCCATTTTGAAATGATCTCTACATGTTTAACCGCTAGAAAAGAGGTCTAGTCAAATACTTATAAGAGAAATTACGCCTTCGGGCTTAATCGTTAAAACTCGAGAATAATCGTATGAACTCGGGAATAATCGTATCACGCTATGGCCGTCGCGCATGCGCGCCTTGGTTAGCGGTAGAGAAGCCGGCTCGCGTGGTCTGCTGCAAGAGTTGTGCTTGGACTTTTGTACTAGTACGACTACTCTGTGCTAATCAATTCTGATATTTCTTACTTGCATCTCATATTCATTCAAATATTTAAATTATTCATTAAATATAAATAATTATAGTAGATTCAATTATACTTTAAATTCTCAATTCATTTAAATCAGTTTAATAGTTCAGTGAATTAACATAAATAAATAAAATCAAGTAAATTTATTTAGTGACGCCACGCGGCCATTACGCGCCACCGTTAACAAAGGATTGCATCAGCCACGCGGCTTTAGTCAATCCATAATTGACGCGTGATATTAACAATTAATTACATTAAATCAATTATTAACATTTAATTACGATCTTATTTAATTTAACTTATAAATAATTAAATTCCAATTTCAAATCATCTGACTAATTTCTACACGATAAACATCAAACTCAATTGACTAACATTCTGTTATCAATTGAATATTATTAGCTCTCACCTAGAGACAATTGAATATTATTAGCTCTCACCTAGAGACAATTGAACATTAATAGCTCTCACTCTGAGACAGTTCAAATTAATTAGATATTACCAGCTCCCACCTTGGGACTTATCTAATTCAAATTATCGATAATTTTCTATCTAAGGCGGCTGAGCTCACCCCTATTGCGTTATTGCAACGTAATTTTACACATTCACACTTACACACACACACACACACACACACACACACAATTTACTTGTATAATTTCATCAAGGAGGTTTTTTTCCCAGCCTAGCTGGGTTTTCCTCCTTTGGGGACAAATAAATTCTTCTAAATTGTTCCCCAAAAAATCCAAGTATTATTATTTAATTTCCTAATCCCAACTTCATCATATTTTTAAAAACAATTACGGGAATTATCCGCATTGGATAGTTTTCGACAAAACACTACATGACAAATAAAACACTCCTAGTAAATCTGGAGTCCCACTAAATGTACGAACGATAGCTTGAAAATTAAAAATTTTTATTGTTAACACCCATTCCCTCAATCCTTCAATATTAGAAGTTACACTGAAAAAAAAGTTTTTTTCCACCCAGAATACAAAGTATTTTTATCCAAGTTTTTTTATATCCAATATACGTTTTCTTAATATAAAAAAACTGGTATTTTTCTCCTGAGAATACCTAATTTTTTTCTGGAGCTAAAACTTTATACTGCGTTACCATAGCAACCGCAGCGGTGGCGCCGCCAATTCTCTAATTTCCCTCCAATTTCACAGTCCTGGCGTGTTTGTTTAGATCATTGGAAAGTTGTATATACTAATTTATTATTTATTTTTATTAATTTTCACATGTGGAATTTTTTAATTAAATTTTTTTTTATAATAATTTAATTGCCATAAAATTCTAAAAAAATTTTTAATGTCTGTCAAATACAGTGTCATTCTTAAATTTAATTATTATAATTTAACTTATTTAATTTTCTTAAATTTAATTATAATTGATACATTAATAATTATTAATTTATTAATTATAATAAAAAAGATCCACCGTATCATTAACATATCGTATGCATCTGTGTCAAATGAGGTTAATTCGGCCATATTTTTATTTTGGTATTTTACTGAGAAGGACACTGAGTTTTTTAAAAATCACCATACTTATTAGTGTAGGAAAAAAACTTTGGTATTCTCCACACAGGTATACCAGATTCTTTACTGGAGGGAAAAATTTCCTAAGTGGAAAAAAACTTTTTTTTCAGTGTAGTTGTAAAATTCTCTCTTAGATAATTTTTACATAACATATAGAAGATTCTTACCAAATTGAAAGCCTGTAGGAGCTATAGCTTGGGAATTAAAAATTTTCATTGTCAATACCCACCACCGCAATCTATATTGGCGGCGGGTTGTCGTAGAATTCTCTCTTAGATCATTTCTATATCACATATAGAAGATTTCTACTAAATTTGAAGTATGTAGGAACTATTGTTGAAAAACAGGAATTTTTCATTGTTAACACCCCCGTAACACTATTTTTTGAATTTTCAAGCCGCAATAACTTTTGAATGAATGGACCGTTTTTAACGCAGTTGGCGGCATTCGACGCAGTTTTCGAAGCCTCATAAAGGATCTTTAACTTTTAATTGATTGATCGAGGAATTTCGATGTGATTCCAAAAAAACACTTTTTTCGGTTTTCTTTCGTCAACGATAACTCACGAACGAATCAACTAATTTTGACCGGCTTGACGGCGATCGATGTGGTTTTTTAATGTTAAGAGCTGATTAGTTTTTATGATCGATTGATAAATCCGTTTAAAAGTTATTCCAAAAAAACCACATTTAAAAAAATTTTTTATCGTAGTATTGTTGAGATTTCTTAAAATCTACCGGTTCGAATCGGTTCAAATTGTATTCAAAATCTAAGCTTGGTCAAGCCGTTCAAAAGTTATAAGAGGGTCTCACACACATACTCACGGTATCAGGCGTCTTGATCCTCCAACAAAATATAACAAAAAAAAATTAGGAAAACAGTTGACCTTAAAGCCTATCCCTGCAACTTCCCGCTAATTTCGTTAATAGCTGGCCGCTTTTTTTGAGCTCTTCGAGCTCAAAAATACAATCTGTGTGTTGTTTTGAGCTCTCAAAGCTCAAAAAGATACCTTTTCTAAGCTTTTGATCTCTTCGAGCTCAAAAGTCTAATAGAAGTTTCATAGAACACTATTTTTTGAATTTTCAAACCGCAATAACTTTTGAATGAATTAACCGATTTTTACACGGTTGGCGGCATTCCACGCAGTTTTTTAGGCCTCCTAAAGAATTTTTATGTTTCAATTGGTCAAACTAGAAATTTCGGAGTAACTCCAAAAAAACACTTTTTTTGGTTTTCTTTCGTTCACGATATCTCACACACGATATCTCACACACACACACACACACACACACACACACACACACACACACACACACACACACACACACACACACACACACACACACACACACACACACACACACACACACACACACACACACACACACACATCGCGGGGGTGGTCAGGGAAGCTTCCTGTGACCTTCAAACGTCGAGATCTAATAAAGACTCGATTTTTGTAGAACGGGATAAAAACAATAACTTCCTGATTTTTGAAAATTTGAGATTTTTAGCGGGAAGTTAAAAATTTTTTTCCACCTAGAATATTAAATTTTTTACTCGAGTTTTTTTATTTAAAAAAGCTGGTTTTCTTAACTTTAAAATACCACGTTTTATTTATTATAACGTTTTATAATTATATATTATAAGGCTAGTTTTTTGACAGGCCGAAAAATTTATTCTTATAGTTAAAAAAAACTTTCGTATTCTAATCATAAGAATACCAATTTTTTAACCATAAGGGAAAATTTCCTAGGTATAAAAAACTTTTTTTTTTCAGTGTGTATTAATTATATTTTATAGCATTATGAAAATAACTA